AAATCAAGTTAGAGCGTAACGCGTTTCAGACCGGCTGACTACCTCTCTCGGCCGTGTCCAGCCAGCCGTCGTGTAACAATTTGTAGTTTTCACACAGCGCGGTGGTGCATTGCACTTTCCTCGTTTCCGTGACTAACGTAATGAATGCGACAGATTTCGCGACTCTCCACTAACTGTACTCTCGGGCAAATTTTGAAGATAGCATTACAGCTTCGTATAAAATTTAAAGGACCTCTCTTGCATTTTCTATTACGTCATGGCATAAGGTATGCGTAAAAATTACCTAGTAACATAAGAATTTCGTACTTAGACGATAAAATTATGAAAAATTAGATATTGTTAAAAATTACATATATGTCAACGGAAATTAAGTTATATGCAGCTATCAACAATATAAGATATTGAAAAATATTTATAGAACGTATGAAATAGTATCCAATAATTATAAAATTTGTTGTTAAACTACACGCTATTAAATTGAATAAATATCCATACATGGATATGCTAGATACACAATCTTTTTCGGCGATGATATTTTATTCTTTTTCTCTAGCATGATAATCCGTAGCATTCAATGATATTAGAGCACTCAACTGTGACATATCGACAGGTTGACTTGTGCCAATATCATGCCAGAGAAAACTCTTGAAAACTACGAGAATGACAGTAATCGTTAGAAATCTCGTGAAAATGTGGTTGATATATTTCAAATATGCAAGATATTCATTAGTTTTTCAAATCTTCAGTCAATCTCACCAAAAATTTTTCATTCAACTGATATGTTTTTCGGTAGCATCATTTCCTGAGAGACACGACCAAAATATCCATAGTGAAAAACCATACTTCATCGACGATGTAGGAGGCTCTCTGTCATTGGCAAAACACAATGTCGATTGCAAACTCGGTTAAATTTAGATCCCAGTTTTCTTTTTTCTTCGTCAGACAATGCGCGCTAAGGAGCAGTTTAATTTTTTATATCGCTACTTTAGCTGCTTTCGGCAAGCCGGAAAACTCGAGAAACATCGCGTGATAAACTTCTCCCATTTTCACGCGCGGTGATAAACAGAAAATCTCAATTCCTGTAATTATACTTTTGCAACTTTCTGGTGGTACTTGAGAACTGCTTTATTTTCCAAGATATTTCCTTTTATTATATCCTTTTATTTCAAATGTAAAATTTACATACGTCGCAAAATTATCATTGGTAATAATTATTTACTCCATAAATAAGTTTTCCGAAAATTTATTTAAATTTAAGAGGAATTTTCAAAAACTGTTTTTCGTTTTGCGCACAAACATTTCGCATAACATTTTCGATAAAATTTTAGCAATAAAAATAATCTTGCAGAAAAACAAAAAATTAAGTAGGATTTATAAATTACTTCTTTTTAAATGGAATGCGGTTCTCTAAAGTCTTTTTGCACATCACTATGTGCAATTTTGCAATTTGTTATGGTCGTTTAAAGTGAATTATAGATTTCGATAGATTCACGGTGCACCAACGAAAATTCTCGAAAATTGTTCGATCGTGATTTTTGCACGAGGTGTGCCGCCAAAATTGTACGTTTTTATGGCGAACTATCGAAAATCTACTGGATTAGCAGAAATTTTGACGTTTTATTTCCGGCTTTTCTCACCTGCAACACTATACCACAGAATTTAGTTCAACCGCGTAGTTCCGTTAGCATAAAAAATGTACGTTTCTTCAGAAAATAATATCGGAAATTCGCGCGCACGCCCCGTTTTTATACCTCAAATTCTCTTTCTTTTGTGACTCACGATTTTTCCTCTGGTTAGAGACGATATATCTCGGGATTTATTCAATCGCGAAGCGTGCGTTAGCGTCAAATGCTTCTCATGGAAATAATATCGCAAATTCGCCTGTCACCTTAACTTCGGGTTTCAAGTTTTCTTTCCTTTTTTTGACCTCTGATTTTCCTTCGTAGATAATTTGGCGTATTTTGGAATTTATTCTATCATGAAGATTCAACTGGAGTCGAATGTAAGTTCAGAGATAATAGCGTTACGATTTAACTCAGTTTTTTTTACTTTTTTTATTCTTTCACTAAGCTAAGAAAATTTCTTTCATCTGTAACGATATATTCTGAAATTTACTGCCGCGAAACTTTCTTCAGCGTTAAATACGCTGAAAATAATATTCAAAATTTGTTTCATTCGAGGAGATTGCAGTTAATAGTAAAAAGATAAGTTATAACACTTACATAAAAAACGTTATAAACAAAATACAAAAGCGCAAGAAAGAGATAGAAGTTTGTAAAATCGTTAGCTATTGCATTAATAGAATCGCATTATCATCAGGCGTATTTATATGAGCGTAATTGAAAATTGCAAGTAAGTAATTTTATATTTTTTCATAGTTTTAATCTTAATTTTTATACATTGACGTTTAAATAACAAATAATGTATTTTTTAAATTAAAAATAAGTAAAACTCTTGGAATAATAATTAAGAATTAAAAATTAAAGAAAGCTTATGAGAGTCAACGCAATTATTCGTGCATTATTATGTATAATTACAATAAATGATGTGTTATATGATGTGTTGTCACAGCGCAGTCGCAAACGTTTCAACTCTAATTTGGATCCTCTTCAATGCTCAGTATACATTCATGATAAAATAAAACGGTTACTAATTTAAAATCCATTATTCCTCCATTTGTAAATTAGTAAATCAAATGTAAAAATTGATAACGCCATTACTGAAATAAAAGATCCGATTAAGGAAATGAGTAATTTAAAAATAGGTGACAAATTAAATTGTATTGAATCAGTGATAAGCCTCATATTATATAATTCAAAGACTATTACAGTCTTGAGGTATCTATAAGATAAAACCAAATTATATAATAATACGAAATCATTACCATCAAATACAGTAAAACTGTATGATCCATTCCTAATCAAACATTATGAACAAAGTTTTGTTTTTTTTCTAGAACTTATTAAACTTTTTCCAAAAGCAACTCCGAGAAAGAAAAAATTTATTCGCAAAACTAGGAGATTATTTATTTTAAACAGACATGCCTGAAAAATAATCTTTTAAAGTAGAACACAATACAAAAAATAAAAATTAAAAATATTGAAAAATAAAAAATAATTTGTGAAAAAATATTGCACGAAGGAGACAATGAAACTATAATAATAATAATATTATTAATTGCAAATTATTGCAAGCTTTCATTAACTTCTGTTGATTACTACCTTTTATATCCGTATGGTATTTTAAAACTAAGAAATTATGATTGAAAGTTGCTATTCTGAATTAATTACTTTAAATTAGTAAAGAACAGGAATTCGTTTTTTAAACAAAATATTTAAGCAATTAGTTTCGATCTTCTCTACATTTATTTACTTTATTTTTTAGTTTAATTATTAAGTTTATGTTTCTTCTTATTGCAGTAGTAATAGATTGAATTTTCTTTACCGCGAAGACTTTGTTATTGTTAGTTCACCCAATAATTATCACAATTAATTAAAATATATATTAATAATCGAAATAAAAAAATTAGTCGTCAAACGTGTTATGATACAAATGAAACATCAGTTATCATATTGCTATTTGATATAGAAAAAAAACAAAGTATCTTATTTATCATAATTTATCTTATTAATCATAATTGATTGAAAAACGATGATTAAATTCTACATTTAATCTGTTATCTTTCTTCCTCCTCTTCTCTTTCTGCTAATTAAATCTTGATTTACATACAGTATTATGATTCCTTAATTAATTTCTCTATATCCTCTATATTTACTCATCTGTAAAATATCACGCTTAACGTTAAATGCAATAGGCTCTCTAATTCTGAGTTTAACTTGCTTAACGTAGAGACCGGGGATTTAATGCCAACGTGTCATGGAAATCAAGCAACCACATGTAACACTAATGCAGGGTGCGAATACGGAGATCGATATACATATCGCGCTTAGATTCTCTTGCAAGCATGTAATCGGAAAGCGCGCGTCACGATATACGGGACTGCAACGCTCAGATTCTGTGATTCTCTCGTGAGCATATAATCGGAAAATCCGCCATGACAGAAGAGGAGGAGGATTCTAAGGGCTACTTTCCCTTTCCCGTTGCACATGTGGATGCGCTCGATATATCTATTCTAACTGGTCTACTATTTCTGTATAATATATAGGACATTCTGGGATAGCAGAATTTAATATTAGACTTCTCACAAATTTTATAATATGTCGCTTATGCTGAAATGCAACATACATTGATAAAAATAATTTGAAAAAAGTTTTGTATATGTAAATAGATATAATATAATAAAAATTCTCTCTTCCATTTTAGTAGAAATTATTTTTTAAAAGATTCAATAAGATGCATTCAATATTACCTTTGATGTAATCACATTTTTACATTCTTTTGTTAAAAAAATATTTAATTTTGTTGATTATGATTACTTGGATTTTTCTGTACTCAATCATGCTATCAAGAGTATCTTACTAGTCGCAATATTGACGCTTAATTCACTTTCGACGCGTTCGTTCGCAACATTAAGCTTCTTGCGAGCTTATTCCTGTCGATAAACGCGGGCCGATCCATTAACAATCCAATTTCTCACGCCTCAAGGAAAGAACTCTATAAGGAATTAACCCCCAACAAACTCTCTTCTCTTCTCCTTGTGATCCTCTTCAGCCTTTTTCATGGTCCAGGCAGTACAAGCGCGATTCGCAGTCTCCGCTCGAACGAGGCAAATGGAACGCAGAGGGCCTCTCCCGTAGGATCGATAGAATAGTGGGGAGATAGCTCTACCGGGCGGTCGAGAGGAGGACGACATGTTGGAGGATTGAAGTGAGATGAAACGATGAGGAGCCGAGGTCGCAGGGGGTGGAAGAGATGAGGGCGCTCCGGCGGCTTCCGCGTCGCGCCATGGTTGCTGCGAGCAGCGTCGGCGTCGGCGTCGTCGTCGCGGTGGCCGTCCTCGTCGCCGGCAAAAGCGGCCGCCACCAGACGGTACACGCAGCAGCAGCCAAAGGCAGCCTCCTGCGCTCGGTCCAGTTCGCCTTCTGCCGTCGCTCGGTTAACTACGCGACTGCCAGTGCCGGTGGCGTCGCGACGCACGTCGTTTCGTATCACTGCGTGCCCGCGTATTCGACGACGTTTCACTACTTTGCGGAGTACTAAACCACGCGGGTGATGCATGGGCCATACGCGCGATAACCTCCGGACGTTCCGCCCTAGAATTTATGATTGATGGAAGGGTAACGAAATCCTTTCTCATCGTGAACGATAAGGACGTTGAACCGACAACTTGAAAACGAAGAAAAAGGTGCGGGGAAACAAGAGGTGAAGAATTTCTCCACGAGAGAGTAGTGATAGCATCCGGATCAAGTCCGTGGATCAACGTCGACCTGGCTGAGAAAGGTACAGGGACTTGTTATTTGAAAGTGTGAATGTGTTCCAGATGTTCGTGAGATGTTCTACTTGAATTTAGGCAATTGCAGTGTCTGATTTGTAATGTGATATTTCTACTGACTAGGAAACAGAAATGCAAGAGGGTCGTTTTCTGTGCTAGTGTCCATTCTCTTACTGTTAATTTAGTACAGTGTCCTTGTATCCAGAAAATCGTGAGGTCTGTTTCGTTCTTTTATTGTCTACGAAGATGTCTTAAAGAGATATATTTACATTGTTTTTTTAATCCAACAATGTGAAGTTTGTGCGCTTTTTTACTTACTTCTTGTCTGACATATTACATGCTCTTTCTACTAGTTTCTATAAATTGAATAATACAAAAACTTATAAAGTTGTTTTCTGTGAAGATTGATCATTAATAAAATAATTTATCATTTATATCATAAAAGCTATGATATATGTATTTGACTCGTTTTTAATAGGTCTACTTAAAACTTAAACAGAACTTACAGACTTCCATTTTTAATAATCCAAAAGTTATCTTATGTTTGTTTCATTCTTCATTTATATTTAAAAAGTAATATATTGAATTTATTAAATAATTCTTATTGATTTTTGAACTAATTGATTCATAAAAGTATAAAAATATAAAGTGTCAGCTTTAAGAAAATGCCTATCTCATTCGACTTTCGAATTTCTACACATCACATTTACGTAGTTTTCGCGTCTGATTTATATCGCGTGTTTCTACTGACCCAGAAATATAGAGGCAATCGTATTTTTTGAGAACGTGAGAGTGTTAATTCCTTGAATTGCGACGTAATCTTCCACTTGTATCTAGGCTCTTGTCAAGTCTGATTAGTTTGTGGTGTTTCTACTAGCTAGGAGATCGACGGTTTCTAGGTAGAATGTGCTAGCAAAGTTGGTGTCTAGCGAATGGGATTCTAGAGATGTGAAAGGGACAAAAGTTTTCGATTTACGATTGAAGCTTTGGCACTGAACGGAACTTGCTCATTGTAAATTCCTTTTGTTTCGTTAGATCGCGAACCTGGAAATAGCCTTTGCTCTCTCGAGGTGTATTCACAATTCCCAATGCACTTGTATGTCGACACCCGTGTGTGTTCGCAAGTGTACTTATTCTCAAAGATAAGGTAGAAAATATTTCCATTCTACTTTCAGTCACTTGCAAGTTTGAATATTTTCAATTTGTTCTTTTTACAACTACAATTTCTTAAGACTAAATTTGAACATAGACATTGCGTGATTACATTTGGATATTATTTTATTGGATAATTTTATTGGAATTTTTGTTTTTCCATGAATTCTTTAATAACAAATGTATTTTGTATTTGAAATATGTATTATTAAGAATATTAAATTTTTGAAACTTTGAAATAAGCTGTAGGGATCCAAATAGCTAACAAAATCTTGCTCCTCGATAAACTTCTATTAAAGTTCACTTTAACAGAATATTAATCTGAGGCTTAGTTACCAGAATACATAATGTCGAAAAGTCAAAAGTTACAAAGAAAGATATTGCACCGCACTAACTTTTCGAGGAAAAATCGCCGCTAAATTCGTCAGAGAATGCGCTTTTGGAGTTTGATGCAAATCTCGTGAAACGCCCCGTGGTATTACATAGGGGATGAACGCTCTCTCACTCGGTACTGTTCTATATTTGCGCTTCGTTTGACGAAGAAAGCGAAGCTTTAGAAAAAAAATCGGAGCGCGGAATAACGCGAATCGACGTGTACTCGAAACCTTTCTCATAAATAAGTCGCATTTCGCGCGCAGTCTGAAGCCATTATCATTCGCAGGCTTAGAGCGCGTGGAAGTCACGACGTTGACCTCGATTTATTATCTTCGTCCACACGCCGGCGAGCCGCGGAAACGGCAGGACAATGCCAAAAGTTCATGAAAATGCCAACTCGTCGGCTTCTATTTCCTTTCGCAAGCGTGTGGGCGACTCTGTCGCTGAATTCACCAAACCGCTTTGCATTCCAATGAATATTAATCAAATGCAATTATTAAACGCAAATTGGAACTCAAACAACGACGGTTTCGTCATCCCTTTTCCCACCCTATCTTGATAGAATTGTCGGGATGTCCGGCTTCATTCACACGCATCTGTCTATCTATCTGCGTGTGAATTTGATTTAAAAAGCCACGAATTTGTATGAATAAATCTTTTTGTATCATCGGGATTTTCCAAATCGAACATCCAAGTTTTAAGAGGAAGTTTTGTTTCTTTTTACTTGTTCTTTCTTTTAATAAAACCTTTGCAAACATTTAAGGATCAATGAAACCGCTTAAGGTAGTAATGCGCAACTTTTTTAAAAAGTTATTTTCAAAAGGCTATTCTTAGAAATAGATAAAATCTTTCGGGCTATAATGTTTATTTGTATAAGATAGAAAATATAATTTTATATTTTTTACCATGAGCATGTAGGTCGCAAAAATTTCATAGGACTGTATGCAGTCTGCGGACTTATTATTAGGTTAAAGTTCGTGTCATACTAAGCAATCGAGACAGGATTGTGAATTAGAGATTAGAATTTGACCAATCAGATAATTTTAATTTTAATCCATTTCGTTTTGATTAGTTGAATTCTAATTTTCAATTAAAAGATATTGATTTTATCGGTAAATGGTGGAAGATTTCTTTTAAACTAATTTTTAGAATTAATTTTTAACAATTATTATTTAAGGATATGATCAAAAAAGGGTTATACTTCTTCTTTTATTGTATTCAACTTATTTAAAAATAGACGAATATTTCTAATCAAAGAATTATTTCTACGGCTTATCATGTAACGGCTTAAAGTTTTATTAGTTTGCATAAATTTGTCATTAAATCTAAGGGATAAAAGATTTCCTCCTGCAACGCTTATTAAGATTATTTTCAGTGAATTGGCGGTTCAATTTTCCAATAATTATCATCATTCGCATCGATTAAATCGCGCGTTCAATTAACGTATTAGCAAGGCAAATTTTATTGCGTCCCGCAGCCTATTTAGGCTACAATCAACAAGTGATGATGGCGTAATTTATGTTTTATACTAACTTATAGGATTTTTCAATTTCGTGATTTGCGAATGAATAGAGAAAGGGATGTAATTTTCTTTAACTTGTGTCATTTACTACAATTAAATGTACCTATTTTTTATTAAATTGTATAGAAAATTGAAAACTGACGAAATTGAAATTGAACTGTAAAAAAATTCGAATAATCTTAATTAATTAATATTATTAATTTTTCTGATATAAATAAATGAGAAATAAAAATGAGTAAAAATAAAACTTTATGTATTACTCTATTATAAAAGTTTCATCTTTTCGAGATGGATGTCCCACATACAACGGGAATATATTAGGTGTTGGAATTAATTCGTAGCGTTTTTTAATGAAAGAATGTTATTTATTTCACATGAGCATTAAAAAATACATTAATGAAAGTACTTCCCATCACTTGTAAAACGCTACGAATTAATTCCAACACCTAATAACTTTATATTAACATTTTCCTCACATGTTTTTAATGCACATCAAACATTTGTCTATTATATTTTACCTTGTATAATAATTTCGTTATTTGAATTAGTGCAGAAATATCTGGATTAATATGTGAATTTTTCACGCAAGTAGGACATCGATTTTTTTTGGTATATTTTACTGACGCCAAGATACCAGACGAAAATTGACATTTAGAGATATCAGAAATCACATTTACGCCGACTAAGAACTAACACTTACTGCAAATGATTTCTCGTGAAAATGATTCATATCTGTTATTAAATTCGATTATTTGCATCCGGTGGGAACAAGAGCGCGAGATGGGCATCAATTAACATCGGATTAATTAGCCACGAGGACGAACCGACTAGCTCCTACGAGCTAAGACAGTCAACTTGAAATTTAACTTGCGCATCGCATCAACGTTCCTGACGTGAACTACTCGCGTCAAGATGGATCGCGCTAATGGATTAACGTTCCTACGATGTGTTTCATTTGTGTGTGTGCTTCGTTAATAAGATTAAAAATCTAATCAACAAATTTGCCAAAGAGCAGATAAAATTTAGGAGCACTTAATCCTATGATTGTATTAAAAATATATCATACAAAAGACTAATCGCGTCTCAAGTTAAATATGTATTCAAATAAATGTATCAGTATAGTTTTGTGAAATCTATTGTCTGTCTTATATTTTTTGTTTTACGTTTTTTCGTTTTAGTCGTTGAATCTTCGTTTAATTGACGTTTATCACGCGCTGAAACGCTTAAACGTTATGTGCAATCGATACTATGCATTGTAGGAAGACTTGCCAAATCAGTTGCATTTCACAATATCGCATTTTATTTTTCGAATTCGCATGTACGTAGAATTTGTGAATGTGGCCGCATCATAAACACAATTTAAGCGTTTTCTATGGATTCCATATCGAAAAATCTCGATTTCATTTCTTAAGGTTTCTTTCAACAATCTTGGTTAAGTTAACATGGATCCACTGAATGAGCTCTATGTAATCGTCGATTAGCTTAATCGAGGTCGGTGAAAGAGATCCTTAATAGGAATTTTATTCCAAATATGTTATTATTTATACTTTAATAGACTTTTATTATTTGCTCTGGAATGCATAAGCATTTTACAAGATGCAGTTTAGCATCTAAATTGGTATATTTTCTACTTCGAAATTGCCAAAACGGAATATGATTCATTATGAATTAATTATGTTGTTAATATTTAACAAAACTATATCAAATATTTCGATGCCAATACACAAAAAGAGAGATATAAAAATACTAAAATATGCTGTAATGTATTTATTATTTTTCTCTTGTTTTGTTTTTTATTATTTCTTTTATTACACTTTCATTTCAATATTTTTCTCTTTATAATCTTTCTTAAAAAAAAAATTAACTAACTGTGGAGAAATTATATTACAAAAAAATTTGAATTAATTAATAGTGTGTCTTATTATATTTTTCTGTATTTTTTAAATCATAATTTTATAT